TTATGAGCAAAAATTACGGCGTATTTTAAGTTGTTTCCACTATTAAGAAAAAAATTCAAGTGAGTGATCGCGCTGTCGCCTCCATGTCCTGCAAAGTGCCTTCAGCTTCCACTCTTCACACAAACGATTAGATATGCGCCTAATAGCGCACATTTATGAATGTGTTATGGCGAGCGCTCGTTGCTGCTGTTATCGGTTCTCTCTTGGCACTCGTGCACAATGCGCAGTCTTCACACAGACGATCGTACGCTTTGTTCTGGTAAAAGCACAAAACAAAATGCACACAAACATGTCCTTGCTCTTGATATACAATCACTGATGAACACCTTTGGTTTTAATGAGAGGAAAAAAAAAACCTACACGAGGGTGGATTAGAACCCAGAACCTCAGAAATGCGTGACAAAAATTCTACCACTACACCACACATATTAATTTATGCGAATTCATGTATTTATTTAGTACTGTGAAGAATCTATTTTATTATTAATACACTTATTATTAATTTATATTAATATAGTCGCTTGCAACGTGGGCAGTGGGGCTGCACTGCCTGCACTGTCTGTAGTTACGCCACTGAACTGAGCATTAACCTGTTTCAACTTGTTAATCTGAATATTTATATTCAAAGTGTTGAGTTAATCATAAGTGTTTAGCGGGAACTCTTACATAACCTTTTTCCCCGTTGCCCATGATCGTTTGGATCAATGGTCCGTGTACCTATGTATAATTCGTTTTTTAATTTAATATTGAAATCTGAACAATTAAAAAAACGGCACATTTTTCGTTTTTCATTTGTTCAAACAAAACGAAAAATCAAGAATTCGGCTTCATTTTTTGTTTTTACGTTCAGGGACAGAAAATGAATAAACAACTTGAATATTTGATCTCTACCTGTGGGCGGGAGTGAAACGCCCCTCTCCGCTGATTGGTCAACCAAACATTACAACATAATAACAGTCCTTAAAAAACATGATACGAGTCTGCTTCTACGGATTCTTAACATGTTTATATTTCTACTACATTTTATCTCTTTATCTTCATCAAACAGCCATATTAAGGACTGCTTGACACAAACCGTTCTGAGGCAGAGCCTAGACCAGGGATCCTCAAATTTGGCCCACGAGATCCACTTTCCTGCAGAGTTTAGGTCTAACCCTAATCAAACACACCTGAGCATGCTAATCAATGTCTTCAGGATCATTAGAAAATCACAGGTAGGTGAGTTTGATCAGGGTTGGGGCTAAACTCTGCAGCGCATTGGCCCTCCAGGGCAAGATTTGAGGAACCCTGTGTCAAGCCATTCGTTAATATGGCTGTTTGATGAAGAGAAAGAGATCAAATGTAGTAGAAATAATAAACATGTCAAGAATCCGTAGAAGCGGAGGACTCTTATTATGTTTTTTAAGGACTATTATTACGTTGTAATGTTTGGTTGACCAATCAGCGGAGAGGGGCGTTTCATTCCCGCCCACAGGTAGAGATCGAATATTCAAGTAGTTTACTCGTTTTCTGTCCCTGAACGTAAAAACGAAAAATGAAGCAGAATTCTTGATTTTTCGCTTTGTTTGAACAAATGAAAAACGAAAATTTGCCGTTTTTTTCAATTTTGCTGATTTCAATATTTAATTAAAAAAAGGAATTATACGAAGGTACACGGACCATCAATACCACAATCCCCACACACACTGAGGGGGGAAAGTGTTTGATGTGGGTTTTTCACTGGTTGATTCTTACATTTTTATTTTATTTTCGTACACACCCAATCTTGAATTCGCGTTTTCAGCCTTGAATCAGACAGCAGTCTAACAAATATCCAAACATTATGATTTTTTTTATATCAGATTTAATGGAAATCTAGATAGGCTACATGCAAAGTATACTTAGACTAGTTATTTCTTTGTGCTTTACAAGGCAAAACTGCAACTTTTATATGATAAACCTATATGTATTACACCAAATCATTGGCTCTGTTCCAAACCCTAGTAAGCGTCTACTGCTTAGGCAGCTGACTTGTAAGCAGGGATCCTAACTACAATGGAAATTTATAAATGACTGAGTTGGAACACACCTCATAGACAGCACTTGGCACAAGTTTATCATTTACATGTTGCTACACTATACACTAACATTTTTTTTTCCATTATTTAATGGAATGCACGATTTATAATAAACATTTCTCTCAACTCTATCCACCATCTTGGATGGATTTACTGTATGATGTGTTGGCTTGTGTTTTTAATATGTATTAACTCAATGTTACTCTGGTTTTATTAGTTCAGTAAAATCATCTGCTGAAGTCTGTTGCAGATATAGATATTCATACACGCATATAACAACTGTTGCAGACGCACAGTCAACTTGCTCTCTAGTGTTCACGGACCATCTTTGACCATTCTTCGGCTTACATATAGTGGCCCATAGAATCAGCCATTAATAAGGCATGTGTATGCATATCTATGGGAGAATCCAAGTTGTTTGGAATGCTGTGTTACTCATTGTGCATTCTGGTAAAGGATGCATACGAAGCTGCATTGCAATTTGGCCAGAAGGTGGCATTTCAAGGCCAGAATACACTACAGGAGTTTTGCCCAGATTTTTGCCCTGAACAAGCTGATGCTAGTTGCCTAAAGTCAGTCATTTTGCAGATTTTGGGCAGTTAGAGTTCACAGAAAATTGCGTAGTGCATGATGGTTCACCTGATTCTATCCAGCTGGAGGATATCAAACGTGTTTGATATTTTCAGCTGATTTTAGAACACATAGGCTATGTGAACATGGACCACAAAACTAGTCACAAGGGTCAATTTTCTGAAATTGATATTTATACATCATCTGAAAGCTGAATAAATAAGCTTGATGTATGGTTTGTTAGGATAGGGCAATATTTGGAGATACAACTATTTGAAAATCTGAGGGCGCACAAAAATCAAAATATTGAGAAAATCGCCTTTAAATCTGTCCAAATGAAGTTCTTAGCAATGCATATTACTAATCCACAGAAAATTGCGTAGTGCATGATGGTCCACCTGATTCTATCCAGCTGGAGGATATCAAACGTGTTTGATATTTTGAGCTGATTTTAGAACACATAGGCTATGTGAACATGGACCACAAAACTAGTCACAAGGGTCAATTTTCTGAAATTGAGATTTATACATAATCTGAAAGCTGAATAAATAAGCTTTTCATTGATGTATGGTTTGTTAGGATAGGGCAATATTTGGAGATACAACTATTTGAAAATCTGAGGGCGCACAAAAATCAAAATATTGAGAAAATCGCCTTTAAATCTGTCCAAACGAAGTTCTTAGCAATGCATATTACTAATCAAAAATTAAGTTTTGATATATTTACGGTAGGAAATTTACAAAATATCTTCATGGAACATGATCTTTACTTAATATCCTAATGATTTTTGGCATAAAAGAAAAATCGATAATTTTGACCCATACAATGTATTGTTGGCTATTGCTACAATTACACCCGTGCTACTTAAGACTGGTTTTGTGCTCCAGGGTCACATATTGTTTTCATTTGTCACATGTCTTCTAGCAACAATTAGGAACAACTTAAAAGTCACCAGATCATGTATGATGCCTAGTGTTTTCAAATCTGTTCCGATTTTAAAAGATGCGTCATGTATTCCAGATTTTAGAAGGCAGGATAATAATGCAACCTACCTTTCGAAACACACTTGGTGTTGGTGTACACCTAAAAAGCTTCCTATGTAGACAGCTTACCAGTTTTTTCGAACCGAGCCATAATTTCAGTTTTAGCTCTAAACAGGTTAAACGTTGGAGCAGACAAAATCATTAGTACCAGACACATTGAGTTTAACGCTGTTCTTGGATTTCTTTTTGGTCAGCTTGGCGCTCGACTTCAGGTACTTCTCTTTGTTGTGAATGACTTGGATGTATTGGTCAGTGCTGCTGTTTTGTTGGTCACTACTGGACGCCAGCGATGCCGAATCCGACTCGCTCAGCGACGGCTCCACTTTATGCTTGGTCTTGTGCTTGATGTATGGTTCGCCGTACCTGTGAGCCGACTCTGGGCCTCGGATGTTTGTTTGAGGGTCGTTTCCCCAGTCATCTTCTTGATCGTCCTCTTCTTCATCGCCGTATAAACCCTGCTCCATAGACAACTGTCTGTTTATCGTATTGCCAATGTAGAATCGTGCGGTCTGATGGATATCCGACAGCGATCTTGGACGGTTCGACTGTTTGGACGACCCCCTCCTCGTGCTGCTCTTCGGATCTTCCTCCTCCTCTTCCTCACTGAGGTGTGGCTGGTGGCTTCGGTGAGGAGTACGAGGAATGTAGCACTTCACGTTGCGTGGATAAAGCTCTACGATCTCTGTCGGTTCGTCCGCGAGGCGGTAATGTCTCGGTATGCGTGTATTTGAGCGCATTAGCTTCTTGCGAGCTTCGTGTTCGTTGACGATGACGTAGCGTGTCGTATGTGCCCGGCGGCCCGCGTAGCTCTGAGCCGTGATTACGCCGGGCTCGGTGCGCATAGGACAGAGGGTCTTCCGAAACGGCGGATCGGAGTGGATGTTTTCGGCATACCGTGCACACGGGTTGTAGGCCATGTTGTGGTAGGACTTGGAGCTGCAGGAACCGCTGGTGCTGCCCAAGTACCCAGAATGCCTGGATATCAGAGAATGCAACAT